TATATATACAGTATATGTTGTTGACCTACTGGTTGTTGACCTAACCTTCAAATGTCTCAGCAGATAGAAACTAGCGTCTGAACAAAGCTTGTGTTCAAACAAGAGGTCTCACTTCAACATAAACTGGTGTGTTGCCCTTCTGCATTTCTGGTTAAAACTCTTTTGTTCTTCATTCAGTGAAGTTACCTGTGATGAGTTAAGTAGTCAGAAATCTTATGCAAGTAAGAGTATAGCGATATGTCTTAATAATATTAATCAAGTAAAGTAAAAAGTACAGCTTTTTCCAAAAAGCTACTCAAGTAAATGTAACTGAGTAAATCTGAGAGTGGAGCAGTTTTGTTTGATGTGAAGCAGCTCTTTACAAACTGAAAAGATTTCATCTGGTTTCAGTTCTTTTAGAAACAAAGTTATAAATATGGAATACAAACAGCCTCGCCAGTTTATAAACACCAGTTTTTTTTCTGTATTTACTGACTTTAGACACTGTGGAGCTCTTTTCTTTTCTTCTCTGCTTTTACTTAAATTGAATCAATATTTCACTTGTTTTTTTTAGTGCATCGAGGAAGGGAGAAAGAGCACGGTTTCTGTTTTATGTGTTTGATGTGAAAATCCATGGCTTTGACCTATGATATTATAGCCTACCACCAATACAATTCATGTAAACAGAGAAAACAGGAAGAAGAATAGAAACCAATGCAGACATTGTTCTCTGACTGAAACAGTGGCTTTGATTGAAAAACAGCAGATCTGTGTGGATTTAGGTGCATGCTGACTTTTAAATTTCACYATTCGGGGACATTTAAGGACAGCCTCTGGATCACAAGTTAAATAGTCCATCTTCTTTCGACTGACCCTGGAGAGAGAAAAACTGTTATCTTGCGTCTTCACACACTGGCTACGCTAATTAATCACTAAATGTTTACCAGTGAAGTTTGAGTTGAAATTAGTTTGGAAAGCGGTGGTTGCAGTCACGTCACCGGAGCTGAGCTGCASAAGTTTGCGAAGGAACAAAATAAAACAGAAGAGCATTAATCATTTTGTCATTCTCTTTAAAGGCCAGAAGAGGCCTATTATTAGAAGTATTCGGAGCTGAATAGATGGAGCTCCTTTTCTCTCGTGCTGATTTTTTTTTCTTCTTCTTCTTCTTCAAACGGAGCTAAATAAGGAAGACGCCGAAGATGTCAAGCTGTTGAGGGTCTGCTGCCGTCTGATGCAGATTTCTCTCGACAGTCTAGACGCTCTTGATGTTTCTGCTTTTGTACGACATGCAGGTCAAATACACTCAACCTTACTCTGATTTTGTAGCTTTGAGGTAAATACGTTGAACGCGGAACACAATCAGAAAACGGCAGGTTTGTTCACAGGAAGGACCGGGAGCAACGTTCCGCATGGTTTGGCCGATGTTCTCGTCG